AGGGCTGCGGCTGGAGCAGCCCGCAGGACTGGAGCGGTAACATGATCATCGTCAACAGTTCTCAGCTGCTGTTCCCCTGCTCCTGTCAGAACGCTTCGCTCACTTCAGGAAATGTCTCTGACAGCGGCTTCTGTGAGGCGTCGTCGTCTGATTGGCCCGTTTATGACGTGGTAAACACTTAGATTATGTTTTGTTATTTTTGGAGTTTGCTAGTTCTCCCCCCACTTATTTCACCTTTGACCCTGTCTGTCTTTGATCAGGGCTGTGCTGCCACGGTGGAGAGCTGGCTCCTCACCAACGTCGGGGTGGTGCTGGGCATCTGCCTGGGCGTGGCCCTTGTTGAGGTACGCTAACGTTACGATCAGCTGATGGCAGTGTGTCCTGAACGAGACTCAGTCCTGTAGCAGCAGAATAGAAGTGTCCTCACTAATACCTGAGCACAAACTTAGTTTATTTACATTAGTTCCTGGAACTGTTTCTACTTCGATAATAACGATTTTTCTGGACGATATATTGTAACACAAATTATAGCCGATAAATGTTAATATTGTCAACATTATTTTAAGACCAAAAGCAGTCGGCGGTTGTGAAGCTTTAGCGCACACACTAGGCAAATTATCAAGGGCGGCAAAAATGATCGACTTATCGTCCTAGGGACTATCTGTGAGCTCTGATTCAATTCTCAGCATGTATCCAACTGTTCATCAAAGGTTTTGTCTGTCTGTGTTTCTGTTTCTGAGCAGCTCCTGGGGATGATCCTTTCCATCTGTCTGTGCAAGAACATCCGCAACGTGGACTACACCAAAGTGCCCAAGTACTGAAGCTGTTTGGTCGGACCGCGGTGGAGTCCACCCTGAACATCATGTCTAAATGTAAAATAATGATTTTACTCATAAATATTGTTCTTGTTTTTCCTTCTTTTTAATGCACTTGTGTCTGTTTATAGTTTTTTAAGCACTTTACAGACATTTATTTAGAACTGAGCAGGGAACCGACGTTTGAGATCAACCAACAGGAGGAGTGAGTGAGTGAAGGGAGGTGATGGTGATGGAGGGGCAGGAGGAGGAGGAGGAGGGGGAAATGTGATGCAGCGGTTCTTATTTAGACTCAAATTACTGTGTTGATGTTTCTATCTGAAGTTTAAAAATGTATTTTTACTTTCTGGTTTTACAACATAAAAACCCATATATTTGTTTTTATTTTTATTGGTAGAAAACAACAATGTTTTAAGTTTTTGAATATGTTTTAGTTCTTTGTGTGTAATTATAGTTTTTATTTTGTCCTTATACGAAAATGAAAACAACACATCATCAGCAGCTAGTCTTCGTTTTTTAATGTTGACTTTGAATTTTTTTTACTTTGTTCTGCACATAACAGCCATAATCGACGCTGAGGTAAACTATTTTTTCTTCTTTTTTTTCAAGTTTGACTCTCAGTTTACTGACTTTCACCACACCTTTTTAACCACTTAAAACCCATTTAAACAACCAATTTTTAATGTCATATATTTGGATGAGTAGCCAAGGAAATCAAATTTGTTGGTGGAGAAAAGTAATTGAAAATATATTTTTAACCCTGAGCCATGATGTAGTGTTTTTATACTTTTTTTCTTTTGTGTACAGTTTGTATAAAACCATGTCCATTAATGTTGTGCTGTTTTCTCACAGTCAGGCCTGTGTGTGTGAGTCATTTATTACCGTCTTCTTGACAATAAACTGACCACAAATGTTCTTCGGTTTCTCCATTTTATAAAGAAATTCCACCGGTGCCACCAGATCCGGAATTAAACTACGTTTCTTGTGATGTTTAGATGAAGTCATTCCTTTATTGGAAACGTTATGTCTATGTGAACCACAGGAGGGCGACATTTATCCACATTTAGTCATTGAGCGGTTCTAATTAAAGCAACTCTAAACTTATAAATACATATTTGTACTTGATTACCAAAACATTTAAATCCACCGGCTGCGTTTCTTGAGTTTGTTCATTGTGTGTAGTAACTTGACGCGTTAAGTCTACTAAAGTGAATACAATAATAACGGGTAAGAACAAATTATTTCTAAGACGCGAGTTTTTCATCTACCGAACACGTGGGAAAGTGTCAAGGAAATTGTGCTTATACTAAAAAAGAGGATATTGTGGATCATAGTTGTCTTTACTTTTATTGTTGACATCGCATTTTGTCTATTTTCTTTCAGAGATCAGGACGACCTCAAGTTAATAAAACAACCAGTAGGTGGCAGTAATGACAGCCACAAGATTCAGATCTCCTGGTTACAGCTAATGAAGAATGAAGAACGAACCAGGCCAGGGAAGGGCGGTTACATGCTGAAGTTCACCTCCGGTAAAGTGCACCGGCCGGTATATTTCCGGTCTAACCTGGACACCTACGGTCCGCATTTAAGTCTAAAAATGTGCGCGTTTTTCGAAAACTACATGTTGTTCTACAAAACCGGGTGGTAGAGTCTTTAGCTAACGTATTTTCACACCTCCTAACAAAGTGTGACGTCTATAACCCAGTAAGTTATTTCAAACGTTCGTGTACACGTATGGTGTTGTTAGCGGTGGTGTTGGTGTTAGCTAAAGACTCCACAACCAGGATTTGTAGTACAATACGTGGTTTTCGAGAAACGCGTAAGTTTTTAGACAAGTCTGCAGTTTGCCGCATAAATGCGGACCAATGGTCTCCCTGTTAGACCGTAGGTGGTGTGAGGATGGCGGACCCGGAGATTTACCGGCCGGGTCGGAGGTGGTCCGGTCTTGCCGGAGATGCACTTTAACGGGGGTGAAGTTGACAAAACAAAATATTGTAGTTATTGGACAAAATGCAGACGTCACTATAAAGTTGACTTGATCGGATCTTTTGGTTCATTTCAGCATGTGTGTATTGACGCAGTTTCCTTGTTCTAGTGAAGGCCATTAGAGATAGTGGGTTCTTTATGTTAAGAAATGGCTTGGTTGATGTCAAACATCTTTGACTCGAGGGCATCACATAACACTGACTCTGTGGAATCAGTCTGGACTCGTGCTGTGGCCTGTAAAGTGAAAACACTGACATGACAACAGTGAGGTAAGACGGATTTTCGTCCTGAGCTTCGTCCTGAAACTGAAATAGTTTCTAACCACAGAAACGTAGAAACTTTTGGAGACAACTGTCCAGTGATCATCTCAGATGTGGGGAAGGACATGTTCGGAGTGGACTGGGACAGTACTGTGCCTGGGACTGATCCTGTCTACTCTTTTTGCCGAAGGTGAGTTTCTCAGTTTTAAGTTTTTCTACCAAACTCGCACAGAGCTGTTCAGTCAACATTACGGATGCCTGATATGCCGATTATTGTCCTAACACTGCAGGCAGCGTGCTGATAGTGCACTGTCACCCTGGGATGCGGGCCACTCTACCCTGTCCGTACCACTATGAGGAGCATGTCCAGGTCCCTCAGCTATCTGTGCAGTGGAGGAGTCCAAACAACCAGCTGCTGTGTCACTACATCAAACACAAATCTTATCAGAACTGCAGCTCAGGCTACACCATCGTCTACGTGCCCGGCAGCATCAGGCTCGTGGTCCAGCAGCTGGACCTGGACGACTTTGGCGTTCACGTCTGCTCCGTGGGAAAGAAACACGAGTTTTCTGACTACAGGATCGAGGTGGTCAGAGTATCAGGTGAGCAGGGCAGCTGATGGGCCAGGGGCAAAAAAAAGTCATATGACTTGGAAACCTGCACAAGAGCCTGGTATCATGAAAAGGGTCAACCAAAAAGTCCTCAGACAGATGTGACTTTTTTGTTGTTATTTGGTGATGACATCTGTGAATCTGCTGTTTAAATCTGAAGGCTGTAAAAATGAAGGTTTTTTTTTGGTAACTTGAGGATTGAATAAATCCTCTGTGTTATTTATGGAACTAACCTATGGAACAAATTGTTTTTCAGAAGCTGGCACTAAAGAGCCAAATTGTGGAGGAAATCTTCTGGGTATGTTGGCATCTATACGACAACATGTCTGGGACGACTCATGAACACAACATTCCACTGGTCCTAATAGACAAACACTGTTATTTCTAATGAGTATCTGTGCAATAGTCCAGAGAGCTAAGACTAAACACTGTGTGGAGTAACGAGTGGTTCTGTGTCTTTCAGGTGGAACATCATCAGTCGTTCTGCTCCACCTCTGTTTTTTTATAGTCATGACGTAAAACAAGAAAGAGAGAAAAGAAGAAGAAAGAGAGGAAGAAGAAAATTAGATTTTTCTCATTTGTAAAAATATGTTTTATTAACAGGAGGTGTAAAAACAATCAACAAATTAACTTAGGGGCTGTGCAAGTTTAAGTCCACTGCCAGGAAGAGGAAGAAGAAGAATTATGTTTTGGTATTCAGTGAAAGTGCACCCCCTCACCCCCCAAAAAAGTCTGCTCTGATTTACATTATTATAGAATTGGGCAAATATAGCGTACAAATATCTGTCAGTGGAATATTAAAACATTTACAAACAACAGTTACAGTGACATACTTATACAGAACATATACAGTGTGTGTGTGTGTGATGTATGGATTTCCCAGCTTACTGCTGACTAAACCTCTTTGTTTCTTTGTCTCTCTGCTGCCTGTGTCCTCAGATACTCTGTAGAGCTAAACCGTCTAATGTCAACAACAGGGTGGGTGTGTGGACAGCTGCCAGAGCAGTAAATACAACCATATGTCACATATATACATGTTACATATATATGTGACCTATATAGCTGCCTGGCTGAGGTCGAATGAGGAGAGTCGTTCTCCTTCAGTCACAATCTCGTCTGTGTAATTTGGAGCTGCTGTGGCCTGGTGTGAACTCAGGCTGCAGGACTCCTGGAGGAGGAGATGGTGTCAGGTTTAACCTCGCTGATCTGAGAGCTTCTCCGAGCCTTGGACAAAGTTTAGAAAAAGCTTCTACAACGGCATCTTCATGCGGACTAATAATCCGTCGTCTCTCTGGGTACTTTACCGCCTAACGGCAGTACAGTTCGATGATTCATTGTTTTTAATAATAATTTGTATAATGAATATCCAGCTCAACCTGCAGCTTACTGCAGAGATATTAAACTCCTTTTATTTAAAAAAGTGACGATAATAATAATAATTCATTTAAACGTGTTGTTATTATATTACGATCTTTTTTTTAAAGCTCGTCCGTGAACGCACCACCAGCTTTATTTTTGGAAGGTCACGTGCAATTCAGCGGGAATAAATAATGTCGTCTTAACGTTCGTGGTCACGTGTTACGACGGCGGTGGCGTTTCTTTTTAGTATGGGTCCAGACAGGGCGACATACAGGGGCGGAGACGAAGGACGTTGTACCGGGAGTCTGGAAGTATAAACAGCAGCAGAAAGAGCAACTGCAGCATTTCCCGCCCCTCTTTCATGCTCTCTCTGTGGACCATCAGTTTGTTACTTCAGGTCCAGACGTTCGTCTTGTCAACCACCGAGCAGAACAATTCACCCCCGGTAAGTTCCCCCGCTCTTTGCTATGTCATTGTTGTTATTGTTATTATTGTTGTTATTATTATTACTACTACTAATACTACTAGTTGTAGTAGCAGTATTGGTAGTAGTTGAAGCCATTGTCATAGTTTGCCCGAGTTCCGCTGTGGCTATTGTTAGACACATTTCAAAGGCCACTGATTGGTTCAGGTGTGACGGACTAGAGGTTTGTTTGATTTCGACTCGCGGTATATTGTTGAGCTCTTCGTTGAATATTTGTCGTTTCTTTTGGTAAAATGACGATAAAAGTGACGAGTATATCCCACTGTCCAATACTTGTATAATTACAAATTAATGGGACTAAATTGTACAAATTAATTGGACTAAATTGTACAAATAATTGGACTTGACGTGAACCGGAGCCTGTGTCGAAACAGCTTTTAGTATGAAAGGAGTTCCATTACTTTCAAACATTTACTTGAAATGTGAACATTGATGTCAAATTTAACCGTTAAAGTAAAATATAAATTTTAAGGTCAAACGTAAACTATGCAAAAATGTGAACATGAAAAAAGTGCAATTCTCAGCGGGAAATGTTGGGGAAAAAGTAAAGTTTAAAGATCAAGGAAAACTGTAAACAGTTGTCTTGAAAGTAAAGTTAAATATAAACATAGTCATAAAACTTTTTTGTGTGGTTCATATATTCGCATTCACCAAACCCTTCAGTGAAGCCCAAGTGGGGGGCGTGTCATCACGAATCATATGAGTCGGGTGTGTCTTGTCCTCCGCCGAACCCCTGAGACTGACTCACCGACCCCCTCGGGTTGAACCCAGGTTAAGCAGCACTGACTTAGATTATTTCCCTTTTATTTCTTATCTGACTGAACGATGTTTTATTTTGAAAAATGTACCGGATTCTCTCCACCGCATCTGTCTACGACTCACACTTGACACATGTCAAGATGCTTGACTCGGTCAGACAAACAAAACAAACGATTGTCTTCTCTACCAGAGAAGACAGACGATCACATACCTGGGACGTCACAGTAGTCTGTTAGAACTGAAGAAGCCTCTTGGATGAAGAGGTGAAACCAGACCAGTCTAGTTGACCTTGATGTAACTGGTCCAGATTAGAAGAGCTGGATGACTGAGAAGTTACACAGACACATGAAAAAACAAGTTAAAAAAAGAGCTCAAATGTAAACACCACTGTCAAATGTAATAACTAAACAAAAGAATAATGGATCACCAAGATGACATTTAGGTCAGATGTAAACATTAAGGTAGAATATTAACATTGATGTAAAGAACGTGAGGAACCTGAAGTTCATGATGAACAGAAAGATGTGGAGATTTTAACAAACATGTTTCTCTCTCTGTCTCCCTCGTGTGTGTGTGTGTGGGGGGGGGCAGAACGTGGAGATGGTCTTCTGCTGACTCACCGTTTGCCTCGCATCATCATGTCGTCCACGGACTCAGATCAGCGTAGAGACAGGCTGACCAGTGTAGATGACAGCCAATCATCATCCTCATCATCAGAGACCAGTGTTGATGCGGAGGCCGTCCTTCAGACTGGAGGCTCCCAGCAGACACTTCCTGTCTGGTCCAGGAAGAGAGCCCCGACGTCCAGCTGTGATGATGCCTGTGAAGGAGTGGACAGTGAAAGTGAAGTGTTCTCAAAGAAGGTAAGGAGATTGAAGTGAAGTGTTCTCAAAGAAGGTAAGGAGTTTCCTGTGTGAAAAAAACAAAACAAGACAAAGTCTTTTTTTTGTCTCGGTGGTTAAGGAAGTGGACTTGGGTTCAGAAGGTTTCAGGTTCGTGTCCACCAGCTGCCAAGTTACCACTGTGGTGCTCTGAGCAAGGCACCGTCCCGCACACTGTTCCCCGGGTGCTTAACGCTGCCCCCTACTGACTGTGGTGATGGGTCATATTTGGTTGTGTGCTGTGGTCATGACTTTACTGCTGCTGAATGATCCTACACTGAAAGCAGTGGAAGTTAGGGGACTTTGGTGATTGGTGTTTGTAAACTGTGTTGAACCTGAAAATGCTCCAGGGTACAACACCGCCCTCATGTGGTGACTGCTGGGATTGGCTTCGGCTCCCCATTGTCCCGTCTTGAGAATCAGAACACACAAAAGGTCTGAACCCGATTGTTTTTCTGCCCAGTGCCTGGAGCTGCAGTGCTACATCCAGCCTCTGTCGTCCATCCTGCAGGGCCTGACGTCAGGGAGGTTCTCTGAACGTGAGTGTTCACTTGAAACACTGCTGTGAACATTAGTAAAGCTGTGTGATAAATTAGTTGTTTCACACACAGACAGATCATGACACGTGTAAATATGAGGAAGTGTGTGATTATGACCCCCCTCCACCCACCACAGGACTGGGCAGTTTCCAGGAGAGTCTGGCTACAGACCGTATCCAGAGAATACTGGGGGTCCTTCAAAAGCCTGACGTCAGGTAAATGTCTGTGTGTCTGTGTTTGTATTTGTGACTTACCCAGGACTATTTGTACAGGTGACTGGTGTGTGTGTGTGTGTGTGCGCGTCTGTCTCAGTGTCAGTGGTCCACTCCCCAGGATCATTCTTATAATAGCAGAAATGCTTCAAAGTTGGTTTCCTCACATCAAACCAGATCTGCAGCAGAAACAGAACCACACACCAGCCAAGAAAACAAAGGTAAAATAATAATAAATACATCAGTGACCGTGTGAGGAACCTTTGGGAATAAAACAGAAAATAAAAAAGTAACACTTTTTTTCCCTCTCTCCTACAGCAGCAGAGCGAGGTCTGCTCCGCTCCTCCTTCACCCAGGGCTTATCTGAGCTTCTCCTCCCCACACATCTGCTCCTTAAAGACTACAGAGTTGGTTGTCGGTCATCCCCCCTCCTCCTCCCTCCCACAAGCTCACCACAGACAGGAAGTAACTCAGGACAACGATGTCTCCTCCAGTACGGACTCGCACACCTGCTCCCGGCAGAGCCTCCTCTCTCGGGCTCGTTGTTCACCTCGTCTGCGGAGACGCCTGCAGACCAACGACAGAGTCACTGCCGTCAGGACGGAGGCCGGCGAATCAGACGTCGGCTGATTGGTGGATCTCACAGGAAGACCTGGAAACAGCCGTGCACGTTAGTGTGTCTGTGTAACAAGTAGGTCTTGGTGGAGGTTGACTGTTAAACACCAGTTTGTTCACTTTTATAACTTTTTAAAGTTTTTACAAATGTATGCATTTTATAGACGCTTTTATTCGCTTTGAATAAAGTGTTCTGCATGTAAATGTTTTGTTTTGTTTTTTTTTACACTTTCTACAAAACCACAAAGGTGAAACAGGAGAAAGTTTGTGCACATTTGATTTTTTTTTAATTTTCATTGCTCAAAAAGAAACAGCATTTGTGATTTTTTTTTTTATTCTGAAAGTAAACATCTTCCTGTTTCAGTGTTCAGAAGAACAGCACAGGAACGCAGTGTTGGTTGTTCTTGTTTGCTTGGGAAACTCAGCAGAGCAATGAACACAATAAATATAGATATTAATGCAAAACATTTCTTCTAATGAAGCATTTTACACAATGTACAATCATCTTCCTTTCACTCGTTCCACCCATCTATACACATGTTAAACATAAACAACGCTCCATGCACAAACTCTGCTTTAAACCTAAATTCATTCCTCATGAGTGTTTTTTTTTTCTTAACGTGTCCTTAAAAAGTAAAAACAAATGACAAACATGTTCAAAGACAAAATAATATTGAAGCTGCAGTTCCTCTCACTGCAGCAGTGACGTCAGAGCCGATTTGTTCCCATCATTTCCTGGGAGTCTTGTTTGTTTCTGTGCAGAGGGGGGGCTCTCCTCCCCTCCTAACCCCCCCTGCATCAGTGGGCGGAGGCAGGCGGAGCTGGAAGAAGCGGGTTTGAGGCGTGGGCAGGCTGTCGTACGGCTGTGGGGGGGAGAGAGGGGGAGAGAGTGTGAGTGACATCACACAAACAATGTACTCGGTGGAAAGGGGAGGGATTTAAAACTCATTTGGAAAATGAAAGTAAATAAAACTATATATAGAGTGTGATGTGTTCACTGACAGTTTGTTTTATAGTTTTATAATTCTACAAATGATATTAACGTTTTACTCACGCGGTCCACTTTCATGATCTGGAACCTCTGAGAGATGTCGGCCGTGTTGGCCGGCAGCCTGGAGCGACCGGAGACGAAGCGCATGAAGAGGACTCGCTCCTCGTTGGAGAACTCCTCCAGAGTCTGCCAGAACCACTGCACCAGCGAGTGCTGCTCGTCCACCTCCCGGTAGCGCACCACCTTCTTCAGCACGTCGCAGCAGATCTCCGGCATCCCACACACCATCTGCTCCAGCTGTTTAGCCGTCAGCAGGGACAGCAGCGGAACCGGCACGATCCACGACATGCCCTCGCGAACCGCCGCCACCTGGAGGTCGACACAGATATGGGTAGAAACGGTTGAGAAACAATAGGATTTTAGTATTAATATGAATTAATGTCAATACAACGATGCTGCCTCCGGTCTGCGGACGCAGTTTTTACCTCTCCTTTCAGACGACTGTTAAAACTAACCAGTTGACCTCAGGTCTACAAACAGTCATATATAAGTCAATATTGTCTAACTATAAAATATGAAATCCCTAGCTGGGGTTCAGTCATATGATGATGAATGTTCTTAGTGTGTAAGTACTAAAAAACAAAAAGGTGTCACAGAGAAATAGAGCTAAAAGACTTTATTACCTGTCGATCAATTTCGTGCAGCCTGTACTCGATGGCTCGTTCCACGTACTCCTTCCTGTTGGAAAAAGTGAGAGGAATGCTGTTTCCTCCTGGGATGATGGGTACCATCTTCCCATCTGCACTTTGACCCACAAAGGAGTCCAGAGGAATCATCTGAAAATAACCAGAGGTTCATCAGTGTTAAATATATCTTTTTTTTAAATAATACAGTAAAGACCAGCGTCTCCCTCTTCACCTCATGGAAGTTCTCCTCAGTGATTCCACTGTTGTCGACGTGAAGAATGCTCTTCAGGGTCTGCACGTAGAGGAGGTCCACCTCCTCCAGGTCCTCCAGGAACAGAGGGATGCAGCACAGCTGCTTCCAGACCAGAGGGGCCAGGTGGAGGTCCAGAGGTTTCTTGGTGCGGATGGCCACACCCATCAGGATGCCCAGGAACTTAAACTGGAGCATGTGTTCATCATGGCAGGCAGACGGGTTCAGAAGGAGCCTAACAAACATCCAAAGGCATAGGACACGCGTGTCAAACTCAGGCTCGGGGGCCAAATCTGGCCCGCAGTGTAATTATATTTGGCCCACGAGATCATATCAAATGTGTACCAGAGTTGGCCTGCCAGTCTGTAGCCTTTTTTTAGCTAATAGGTACAGTAATAAGCTAACGTTTAATGGAGTGATGGCCGACTATCCCTGTAAATCAGGATTAAGGAAGACACATCAAGCCAATCCCTGGTCAGACTCCTCACCTGTCTCTGTTGTAGCCGACCTCAGCAGTAGCGTTGGGGGAGGGGATGAGGAGGTCCACCACCCCTGTCTCCAGCTCCTGTCCAATCAGAAGACAAACCATGAAGAATCTCTTCTGTTAATATCTCTGATGGTCAGAGTTTTCTCTTCGTACCTGACACATCTCTGTGATCGTGTCATCAAAGACGCCTCCCGCGTCGTCGGCCCCCTCGCCCACCAGCTTCACCTTCCAAGCCCTGGACGGCAGTCTGAGGTCGGAGGCGTTCAGCTTCACGACCTGCCGAGCGATCTGCACAAAGATGGGCTTACACTTCCTGCCCCTGAAGAACAACAACACCGGACCTCCGTTAGTCTGACACAGACAAACACACACACACACAGGTCTTCAGGTCTGACTGTGAAACGCTCATACTTAGTAGTACTGACCTGGTGGCAATTCTTTTGACAGTGATCTGGGGGCCGTAATTTTTTCCTTGCACCATGGTTTTACCAATGGAGCGCACCATTGGCAGGGTGTAGACCCTGGGGGCCAACAGTGGCCTCAGTTGACCCTGGACAATCCCCCAGGTCCCAGGGTTGTAGTGGGAGGTGCAGCTCTGAGAGAAGTCAATAGACACGTCATTAATGCACTATTTAAACTCCTGTTGTTTTCTAGTTTTTAAACACACGCAGGTTTTGTTCCTGGAAAGACAACAGTGTAGTAGGAAGTTCAGTTCTCAGGTGTTTGTTCTACCTGGTTGTTATGGCTGAGGGTCAGCATCCTCTCCACGACGAGTACATGAGATCGGAGAAGTGGTAGAGGAGGCGAAGGCGAGCTCTCAGCGCCTCCATGCTCACCTCTTTCAGCCCGTTGTACTGAGGAGGCACGGCCACAGGGAGGCCGAGCTGCAGAGGAACTGACGAGCCTTAGGAGGAAGAAGAGGAGGAGGCAGAGGATGGAGACAGACCAGGACAGAGAGATGTAGGTCAGGGCAGCCTCTAACGGCCCACAGTAGCATAATTACATCTGTAAGAATCGTTATCAGTTTTTCCTCCGATAATAAAAACCAGATAACACAATGCCTGGGTTTCCCCAAATGATGTGTGACCTGAAAATAGTTTTGGTGAAAACAGTTGTAGATAAAAGTCAATGTCTCTAGATGGCAGCATTGCAGTGTGTGTGTGTCTCACCTGGTGCACGCGGTGGCACAGAGGGAGCCGTCCATGCTGCACTGTGGCAGCGTCCTGCAGAAATCTGGTTGATGTTCTTTCCCTGCAGCGCCGTCACCAGTGTGGGTTCTCTGACGTGGTTGGTGTGACCCAGGCCCAGCTGCACAGACCACACGACCCTTTTGATTTCTGACATCATCAGAAAGTCACAGCACGTTACTGAGTGATAATGATCTACTAATCACCTGTCCCTCTGAGTTGCTGCCCCAGGTGTAAACGTCTCCTGTGGATGACATCACCAGAGTGTGCTCCGCCCCCACAGCGATGTCCTGGATGTGGACGCCCGACAGAGCCGACACCTGCTGGGGTCGGTTGTGGTTCCTGGCTCGGCCCTCGGGGAGACCAATGAGGCGGTCTGCAGGTCATGTGACACAAAGAGAAAATAACTCACTTTGTTCCTGTTCCGTAGACCAATCAAACCTCTGTTCTCTGGTTCCAACCAGGACGGACAGTTAACCATCAGCTCACCTTGTCCAAAAGTGTAAACTTTGCCGTCTTTGGTCAAGGCCACAGAGAACTGTGTTCCACACGCCACTTTCTTGATACCGAGGCCACAGAGAACGTCGATTTTCTGCGGGAATAAAAGATGATTTTAGTTATTGATCCAGTGAAACGGTGGAGTGAGGACTCTCCTGTCTTCACCTGATCATTCACCTGAGGGGACGACTTGGCTGTGGAGTTACCCAGTCCCAGTTTCCCATAGTCTCCATCACCAAATGCCCAAACCATCATTCCATCAGCAGAGACAACCAGAGTGTGATTCAGGCCACACGCCACCTAGAGGACAGCATATGTCGGTATCAGTGACAGATTGGTGTACATCAGGGGTGCCCAATAAGTAGATCGCAAAGGGCTGGTCACTCATGAGCAATAAAAAAAAATTATATATAAATTTAAATATATTTACATATATATTTATAAATATATATAATTCTACAGCATGTGTATTGGTGTCAATATAATGTAAGAAATAATTTTATATTTATCTTCGTCACAAAAGTTTGTTATCAAATATATTATTATGGCAAACTAAGATCTTCAAGAATCTCTTTTTTTCAGTTAAGATAAGATAATGGCTTTTTGCTGCCACCTAGTGTATGAATTCATTGCTACACAGTCCGAGTAATATTATCTCAGGTTTCTTTTTGCAGAGCATTTAAAATGATTTGATTGGCTCTCATGGCCTTGAGTTTAAACACATCTCCAGCAGGGCGGCGACCTACCTGTCCTACTCTGTAGCCCTCCAGGGCCATGACCTTCTCTGGCAGCTTTTTGTTGGAGGTGTTTCCCAGTCCCAGCCGACCGTAATCTCCGTTACCAAAGGTGAAGAGTTTCCCGTCAGCAGTGACCACGGCGGAGTGTTTAAACCCACATGACATCTGGAGTGAAAACAACATCGACGTCAGGAGTAAAACACCAGCAGACAAGAGCTCACACACACGCTCACACACACACACACACCCTCACACACACACAGGTGGAAGGACTCACCTGGACCACCTCCTCCCCCTGCAGGGCTTCGATCTGCCTCGGTCGACGTTGGCGGTCGCTGTTTCCATGGCCCAGTTTACCGTAGTCGCCATCGCCCCAGCTGAACACCTCGCCGCTCTCCGTCAGCGCCATGGAGTGGCCGTCACTGCCACATGACGTCACCAGCTGCGTCACGACGAAGCCTGTGTCAGAAGACAGACAAGAAGAAGACGGTGTTAGCCACTGACTCTGGACTCGACGCAGAGCGAGGCTGCTCGTCACACTGTGATCAGACAACATACCCTGCAGAGCTGAAATGACAGTGAGCACGTGCAGATCGTCCGAGTTTCCTTGTCCCAGACGGCCGTAGCTGCCTTCACCACAGGCCAACACCGTCCCGTTGGGCTGAATCACAAAGGTGCAGTTCTGACCACAGACCACCTGGAGAAGCAGAGGTTTAGACCAACGTGGTTTTACGTATCATTTTACAAAACTCTATGAACATGGAGTGTTTGTGCATTTTTTCAACTTCATCAAGCAGGTCGAATTCAACACCCATAGCGGGACGGTTTTGGCCCACAGGCCTTATGTTTGACACGCCTGATCTAGGCCATGTGATATATATTCACATCACTTATGATGTCGTTTTTTTCTCTATTTTGTAATGGAGAGAAAATGTGAAATAAAATGTGGAATAAAAATCAATTATTGACTTGACACTGGAGTAAAACTCTGGGTCACATGACAGGAAGTGTTGACACAGACCAACCAGGTCTGGTCCCTGTCAGCTGTATTATCATGGTTAAAAGCCTGTTGTCGAGTGAGGACACAGTCGTCAGTGAAGGTCAGTGTCTACGGTCTGTTATTCACCTGTTGGGCCTGAGAGAACGACGGAGCCGTGGAGGGAACCAGGATGTTCCTGCCGGCCTCCGCCAACTGACCGTGTCGACCGGCCCCCCACAGATACACGTCACACTTCCCTCCCAGATGCCAGTCCTGCTCACACACACACACACACACAGGTCAGAGTGGGGAGGGACTTCTCAGACCAGGTGAAGCTGACCAGTGATTATCCGTACCTCTGGTCTGGATGTGGCCCAGGACATGATCTGTTCATCCATACCAGGCGACCATTTGCTGTTGTCCTGCAGGCAGAGAGTGTAATTTAGACTCAGGTCAGGTTTATGTGCAGTGTTTCATGAGGAGCTGAGCAGATGTGGTTTAATCACCATGAGAAAATTCATTTCATCTTTAGGGACAGGCTCCAGGTCGGGAACGGAGAAGGACTCGGGGAACGTGGCGCCTCGAGCCAGAGCCTCCGCCACCTTGACCGTGGTGGAGAAGCAGTCTAACCAGGCCCACTCTGTGGTGCGCCACACCGCTATGCCGGACTCAGGCGGGCAGTGTCGGAGATGCGGTGGTGCAGCGGGGCAGCACAGAAGGTGGTCCAGGTGGAGACCCACAGCCAGGGAGGCCAAACACTGCATGTAGGGGCTGTGGATGAGCTGCTCCCCACAGACGACGTGAGGCTGGAGGAAACAAGGAGACGTCAGGTGACCAGTGACAGTGATGTCATCACGCCCCTGTCCAATGGTCTACTGTCCATCAGCCTGGGTGGTCTGTAGTTCAGGCTTAAAACTGAACTTTAACAAAAAATTGAAGTAGGATGACCCCTACTGGGTCATGTAGTAATTACACCCTAATGTGCTTCAGGTCTGTGTGTGGAGTCCTCATCAGTAAAGATACAAAGAAACAGGATTTTGTTTGGAGTGCACGCCCTCTACCTTCTCGTAGGCGTACTGCTCCTGCAGCATGACAGGAAGTCTCTCCAGGAAGGCTCTCATACAGGGCGCCACGTTCAGTCCAATCACACCCTGTTTCTTCAGAGCCGTGCGACACGTGGCCAGAACGTGGTTTGACGTCATGAACTCTTTGGAGCAGTTCACGACCAGCACGTCCTGAAGTTGAAGCAAATTCAAAATCCAATGAAAAAAAAAAGATAAAGAATGTGATTTACTCTTTTTCTTAACCCGGGTTATGGGTAGAATACTGACCTTTGACCTGTTGGAACAAACGGCCACACCCACATCAGGAATCCACACTATGTTCTGAATCGCTCCTGATCCGGCAACGACCGTCTGGAGCACGGAGCCGTCCTGTGAGTGTGGACACAGACACACATGTGGAGCAGCTGTTAAATGTCTTCAGAGGAAACACACACACACACTGTACGAGAGTGTGTGTGTGTGAGAACACACCAGGGCTGGGCAATATATATATATACATATACAGTATACGTATACACATATATATATGTGTATATTGAGTATTGTCATTCTGCAAAAAAATATCAAGATATACATATATACTGTATATACACATATACACATATATACATATATATATATACAAATATACAATACATACATACATATTTTTTTTTTCTGTAACATAATTGGGTTGGATATAACTGATACTGACCCAGGTTATATCCTGTTTATACATATATTGATATACAGTATATTCAACTATGGAGATACTGCCCTAGTACACACTCTTCTTACCCTCAAGGACCAGATGTTCATGAGACCTCCCACTCCTCCAGACGCCAGAGCGAGACCATCAGGGCTGAAGGCCAGAGTTTTGACTGGAGTGATGTGACCCTTCAGTTGAAACACACATGTGACGCCATCCTTTGACCACTTTGGGGACTGCAACAAAAACAACATCAACCTCCAAATTTATCTGATGTTCAAATGTACACTGTACTGCGTGACAGCTAAAATACACACATATTACCATGAACTTGGGTTTCTCCTCGTTCTCCCACCATCCTTCTGACTCAAATGAAGAGGATTCTGGGAAATTAGAGGCGTCCTGAGGAACGCTCCAGACTGAGATCAGACCGTTCTGGCAGCATCTGAGAAAAAAAACAAAACAAAACAAAACTGAACACTTGGAGTGAGCATCATATATACTACTACTACTACTACTACTACTACAACTACTTTCCCACTATAAATCATTTTTAAAAAAGTCAATATATCGTTGTGCCCGTAGTATCGCAATATATCGCAATGCTAGTACACAACCTTATATACTACAGCGTCACATACTGTACACTGGTGTACTACAGAGTCACATACTGTACACTGGTGTACTACAGAGTCAGTCTGGACTGTGTGATTGAAGAACCTACATGGCAAACATGTTGAGGGGCTTGGACCCCCGCCCGAGCAGATTGCACCAGGCAACACTGTTAACATTAGAAGGATGTCGGAGACTCTGGAGGCAGCGCCAGCCAGAGGCCGGGTCCTGACACGCCCAGAGCTTCACCGTCTCCTCTTTGGCACAGGTGAGCAGGATCTGACCGGTGGGACTCCACTTCATACAGCTGATGGACTCCTGGTGGAAGAAGAGTCACGTGTTCACCATGACAGCAGGTCTGTCTGTGAGAGGAAGGTTTCAGAAACGAGCTCCACGTCGTCCTTTACCTTATGAGCGTCGATGACAACAACGGCGTCCTTTTCTAAGGGTTCCTTGGAGCCCATCAGCAGCTTCCCATCGGCGTAGCCCACAGCAAACGGCTTGTCCTCGCTGTACCAGGCCACGTGCATCACTGCCACTGAGAGGGGAGAGCAGCAGGGAGTCACCAACAGCCTCAAAGAAACCAGCCGTCCAGTCGGAGTGTCAAACTTACCGTCCTTCCTGTAGCAGTGCTCCAGCTCTGTGCGATGCATGGTGGCGGAGTCCAGCACCTCGATCAGGCCCAAAGATCCGTCCATCCGTCCCACCAGCAGCATGTCCTTGGGCTCCCCACACCACAGAGACTCCGCCTCCTCTCTGGGCCACGCAAGAGCAGACACCCAGTGGGGCTGCACATCCAGGAGACCTTTACCACCTGAGGAGGAGCAGAGGAGCAGAGGAGCAGTCAGTCAGCAGTCAGACTTGGAACTTTTCATTAGGAAATCTCAGCAGAACTAATTAAAGAATCAGGAACATCAGTGTAAACAACACGGTTGATTTCTGAACCGAGTCTGATCAGAAATCAACCGTGTTGTTTACACTGAGTGTTAAAGGTCATCACTGTCACAGCCCTGTGGCAGTTTAAAAGGATGTCAAATATATATGTGTGTATATATATATTTTTTAAATCAGTCTTTACCGTTAACTTGCCAGATGTTGACCATTTTGTCCATGGCAGCGGCAAAATATTTCCCAGTGACACTCCAAGCCAACGGGGACAGACATAAGTCTCCAGGTGACCCCAGTCCAGACACGCCTTCTTCTGAGGATCCATCACTGACGCCACAGAGAAGAAGAAACAGGATGTGTGTTTAATTGGACCACTGTGGCTCTGTGTGTGTGTGTGTGTGTCCACTTCCTTACTCCTTGTTGAAGATGCAGGTCTGCTGCAGTGTGTACTGGTTCTTCGTCACGTTCCAAACTCTGACTGTTCCGTCGTTCCCACTGGTGGCCAACAGGCCTTTCTTACTGCACCAGCCGCACATCATGACCTGCAGCGCACACACACACACACACACACACAAAGATTCACACGTTACTACAAGACAGAGTGAACAAAATGTCACCAGCCATTTTATCTGTGACTAATCCAAATGATGGGATTATTAATCTGGAAAAATGTCCATAAAAACATCTAGTTGTTTTAAAATGATTGTACAGTAATTTTTTTATTATTATTTAATGCTTTGAGTGAAATTGAGTTTAGATCAGAAATAAATTATTTTGGCTTTTATTTTATTTTATAGTCACTGATTTGTTGTAAAAATGTACAGTTGAACACTTCATCTGTTTGTGTTCAGTTTCTAGATTAAAAAAATAAAATTAAAGTTCTGACCCTGCTCTGATGAGCCTCCAGTTTGATGAAGGAGCATTTCCGCAGGTCTCCGGCCATGTCAGCGAAGGTCTGCGGGCAGCTCTGGTTGTTGTCGCGGTCGTGTGCGGCCAACGTGCGGACCAGCTGCTGGGCCGCCCATTGGCGGTGCTGTGAAGAGAGCCTGGTCGACAGACAGCAGGCCGCCAGCGCGTTGGCCAGCTCCAGGGGGCCTACAGCGGAAGGATTATGGGAAGGATTGGCATACAAATGCGCAATTAAACCTGCTTGACATGAAAACAGGGTGACAGGGTCGCAGAGGGAGCCAGATGAGCAAACGGAGAAGACAAAATGTCAACAGAAAAAAAAAACTAAAATGACGCAACAGTGAAGAGACAGAATGAAGATCAGCCGCCCAGGATTCTCACACACACACACACACACACAGACGGACACACGTGTTTCCCCACAACGACGATGGGTGAGGTTTATGAGGGGGAGTCACATAACAGAAACGGTGAACTTAGAGCTTCTTTAGCTACAGGATGTGGAAAGTTCTTTCAGGCTAATGACAAATGACCCGGGATAGGAATTTGATTTGATACAAATAAGTACAAATATATTAGAAAAAAAATTAAATAATACAAAAATTAATAAAAATTCAACAAAACATCACTAACATGCAGTGTTTGTGCATTTTTTCCGCCACTTTTAACATTCATCATGTGGGCCGTATTAAACCCCCGAGCGGGTCAGTTTTTGACACCCCTGTTCTATTGGTTCCCCCCATTAATATGGTGTTATTGAGATGACACCAAGTTTATGAGTTTTTTAAATTAAAATGACTCGTGTTGGTCAACGACAGAAACATGATTCAGCCTCCAGCTGTTCTGTGTCAACAAACCTCTTTTCTCTGTCTCAGCCTTGTCGTACACCGGCCTGAGTCTCGCTCCTTTATCTGCCAGCAGAGCCACCAGCGCCTGTGTCACCACGAAGTTCGGGGAGGTAATGAGCTTGTTCTCCTCAGCGACGCCGCGTAGAAAACTGGGCAGGAACTTCCTCTGGATGGGGTCGTCCACCGTGGTCAGGTTCATGCCGGTGGCTGCAGAGATCAAGTTCTGTGAGAAGAAGGAGGGAAAAAAAAGCATCATTGTCTTGAAACTCATTATAAATGTGAACACATAGCGGGTGGTCGGACCGTACCTGGGTGCAGAGTTGGACCAGCAGCTTGGCCGCATTAGGACTGTTGGACGCCAGGCAGCCCACGGCCGTGCTGAGGTACGCCAGGCACGAGATGGGTTTGCTGGCCTTGGTGGCCCCGCGGGGTCTTTCAGAATGGCCGGAAGTCGACAACGGACTGGTGGAGAGACCAGCCCGGCCCGCAGCCGCCAGGCACATTAGTCTGACCAGGGTCTTGATGTCGGTCAGACCCAGAGACTCCAGACCTGCTGCCAGACTGCAGCTTGATCCACTGAGCAGAGAGGGACATCACAATATTCAAATAAATTAAAAATTCAAATATTGTTAATTATCTTCATGGTGCTGATTTAGGACCACGACCTTCTCTTTTAGCCAAGTGTATTCTGATTAAGTCAAAAAAAGCACTGAAATTTTTGTTCCCGGTCTCCTGCTGGGATTTGAACCCAGCTGAAATAAAGTCTGGTCTCCACACGACAGCTCACCTGACAGACAGCAGCGACAGCGCTCTCATGACCATGGTCCTGGCCAGCAGCACCTGAGCTGCGGCCGTCACCCTCCTCAGCGCCATCACACGGTCATGTGGGTTCTGTAAGGCGGTGGCCTGTTCACCCAGTGTCACCCTGCCTGATGAAGTCTTATCCACGACCGTCTGACAGCCTGGGAAAAAAAAAAAAACAAACCAACTTAGCACAAATGAAGTCCCGATGATCACTGACATGGGAGGAACCTCCTCATTCTCCTCCTCACCGATCTGAAGGAGCGTCTCCTCCATGCTGTTGGCCGCCGTCACCATGGCGACAGAAGCTCCCAGTGGGTCACTGTCAGGGAACTGGACGGCCTCTGGGACGATCCTTTTTTCAGTCAGACCCAGGGGTCCGGTCAAGAGTTCAAACTCTTCCTCTCCCGTCAGTTTATCATCTTCATCAACATCCAGCATGTCCCAGTCCTCTGTGAATGACACATCATCATCATCATCATCACCAAGTACCAAATGACCTACGAACAGGTCCCCGAACCAGGGGTTGGGAACCCCTGGTGTAAAACACAAATACAACGTGTGAAATAAATGAATCCAACAAAGGTTACCTTCATAGACACTGTCCTGTTTACCCAGGAGATCCGGAGCTTGTCCTTTGTACCTTAGATTAAAAAAAAACACAGGTCAGAGGTCAGAAAATGGCTGGTTCTGTTTATTGGCAAGACCAAAGTTGCATCTCTAATAAAATGATGTATACAAATGCCCAAATAATTGTTAAATTGCCCCTCCCTGATTTTATTTTTTTATATTTACTCAATTACAAACAGTAGGTGGCAGTGATGCAACTGAAAAGATACAAAACTTTCATTGGAATGTAAAGAAAAAAGTCGTTGATTTCCTCAGTGTTCCCTCACCTGTCCACCACAGGGACCTTAGCCTTGCTCTTGATGGCCAGGTACTTCTCCCTGCAGCTCCCACACAGCAGGTAGTAAGGATTCCCACTGCCACACTCTCCTCCAAACCAGCCGTCCACGTATGAGCCATTGCTGCGGTACCCTTGGCGGTTGGCGCTGCGTCCGCAGCCTGGATGACTCTTCTTCATGTGTTGATTAAAGTTGGCCACGTTGGCCTCGCACAACTCGCACACGACGACCTCATCTCGGTCGTCAGTCTCACACACGTGCTGCGAACAAACACAAAACGTTAATGAATGTAGAAGGCTGGAAAAACACGGCGATGTTTTTTCAGGCTTCAGGGAGCAGTGACTCATTCATGCACAGAGCTGAGGTTAAAAAAAAAAAAAAAGACGTTCAGAGAGAGCGGAGCAGCAGTCAGTCCTTCATTTCATGCCAGTCAGTGATGAAGCTTCAGCAGAGAAGCAGCGTTTCTGTTAGCACATGTCATTACTGCTGCAAAGATGTGAGGCAGCCCAACAACAGGAAGTGATGTAGTTCTTTTGTGGTTGTGTGAAGTGCTGACATATTTTTTAATTGGACAGTTTGTATCACACACACAAGTGAAGACCCTGGGTTAAGTGTTGGAGATCGTAAGGGGAGTGCAGGCAGATCAACAATATCATCTAAGCTAACTGTCAATATACGAAACAACAACAGAATATAAACAAAAACAAACTGGAAAGACTTCCTTTCTTTACAGGAACACTGTTGGTGTCTGTGGAACAAGTTCTTCCCACGTTCTGTTTCAACACCTGAACGTCACTTAGGGACCTGACGCCGTCACTTAGGCTACGTAGGGACCTGAAGTCTTGGTTTATTAGCAGGGCACAATGAAAGCGCATACCGCCACCTACTGTACTAGCGTGTGTAGTGTCATGGTATGACCAGTGACTTTTTGAGATAAGTCAATCTACTGCTTATGCCTTGTTACAAGATTCATTTTCAACTGATACAAATTGTCTGGCATTTCTATCGATTGTTAACTGATTCACGATGCATCGTCACATCCCTTAATATATATTTAACATTCTCAATCCAGCTGGGTCATTTTAGCCTCATCATTCCAAAAACAGATCACAAACAAAAACAGTGTGGGCACCACTGGGTTAACATATTGTTAACTGCTGCCCCCACATGTTGTCCTGGGGTATCTCCCCACAAAACCTCTCAAAAACTCTCATACACAAAATCAAACCAAGAGACAACACGACGACATGCATACGGTCAGCCGTGTCCTACACTCTTACAACTTCTTTTCAGGGGTCAAAGGGCATGGTCACCTGATTTCTTTTTACCATAACAACTGTCTGTTCAGACATTCAGCCAATCATAAGATGAATACCAGGACTTTTGAGCAGTCAGTCAGAACTGAAGAAACCTCTCGGATGTATTGTTGCATTGTACGTTTTCTTTTTGTCAGGACTTCACACAACCACAGTTGGAACCAACTGAATGATCACGTTTGAAGGAGCAGAGTCTAATGACAGGCCTCAGACCAGAGCATAAAGTCACACACACCCATGTTGGCCAGTCCAGTACCTCCGGGATCCACATTCCCAGAATGTCGTTGTCACTTGCGAGGTCCTGTCCAAAAATGGCCTCCATGGTCGCCTCATCCAAGTCCATCTCGAGTTCCTCATCAAGGTTGAAGTCATACATGGCACTTGGGTCCTGCTGTTGCTGTTGCTGCTGCTGCTGTTGTTGCTGCTGCTGCTGCGGTTGCTGCTGCTGCTGCGATGACAGGTCTCGTCGTGACTGAGTGTGGTGAGCCTGCACTGAGCGGTACAGCCCGGCTGAGGAGAGACGACACGTTTAATGTCAGACAATAAAGTTGGTGAAAACATACCTTTAAACTCGGGATGTCCGATATTAACAGCCGACCAATATTATCATAATTATGTCATTTCGGCAATTTCTCCAAATGATGTGTGATCTAAAAATAGTTTTGGGGAAAACAGTTGCATGTGAAAGTGAAAGCCACTAGATGGCAGCATTGCAAGTCATTTTAGTAATTCATTTTAATCATAATTATAAATCACCTTAGTGAGCAGGTGGCGCTTAACCTGCTTAACCACCAGACCACCACTGCCCCGCTATATTGGCATCAGTTGATGTTGGAAATTAAGTAACTGGACAATATCAGCATATCAGATATCGGTAAAAAGTTAAAATCGGACATCCCCTCTTTAAATGAGTATTTATGAAAAAGTCTTACCAGCACGGGCTAAAAGCGTTCGAGCAGCCAAGTCAAATCGATGTTTCCTACCAACAGCTGAACGTCCTCTTAGAGCGCCACCACTGGAAGATGACGCATTTTCCTGTTCCAAGCCTTCAGGACTAAAGTGAACACACACAGTCAATGATCTAGTCTTATCACTGAACAGTTTAAACAGATGGAGCTGAAGATAAGATCGTAACATTCACCTGTCACTAAAACCCTCCTCAACTTCTGAAGCGTCTGCACTGGCGATGTCCGCCGGGGAGCACATGTAGGAACTCCTGTCCATGGATTTGCCCCCAGCCATCGCCCCAGGACAAGAGGATTCAGAGCCTTCGTTGCAGCCACTGCTCCCACCTCTAGGGTGAGGCTCCTCGTGTTCATCCTCTGTATCTGGATTTTCAATCATCCACATGGCCAGCACCGTGATGTTCTGAGCGTCGGCCTCTCCTCTGGCACCTGAAGACAGACACAGGACATGTGTTCAAATAATTTTGCTTTATCTATTTATTTATTTATTATTTAACTTTCAACACGCTACTTCTTGCAGCTAACTAGTTCGGGGAGACAGGAGGACAAAGGAGAACGAACCTGTGGCCTCCAGAGCTTTGGTGATCTGCCGCAGGGAGAAGCCCATCTCCAGCAGAGGCACAGCAATGGCAGGAGGAGGAGGAGAGGTCGACAGTCTGCTGGTAGGATCTGACAGAGCTGCAGCAAACATGAGCAAATGAACACTGAAATTAATGATCAACCACGGAGGTGATAAAAATCTGTCTTCACATTATCGTTACCATTAGTCTGTTTCTCTGCTTAAAAATATTAAATTTCATTCTGAGGTGATCTGATTATGTGATGTAACGGTTCTTGGTCTTAATTAATAATAATATAAATTATAATAATTTAAATTTTATTGATCCCATATTTGGCCCTGGTAGGCACCAAGTACAGTATGTGGTTCCTCTGGGAATTGAACCCAAGACTCTTTGTTCTCTGATTCCCAGGCAGGCCAGCTAACCGCTACATTATAGAACTATTTAAACGATATGTAAATTGATGTGTTTTTCTCTTGGTGTCCTTTTGCCCAGGTCTCTGTTAAAAAAGACTTTATGTAAGTGCAACATCTGCTGGTGAAACAAGGCAAAAACAACAACAATAGTAACAGAATCGTACTTACAGGTACCCGTTCTGTTCTGAGGCCTGGAGGGCTGCGAGTCAGGGGATGTGAGGCTCTGCCTGCGACCCACTTCATCGGAGGGAGACGTCGGCAGCGACGACACCGGGGGAGTCTGAGCTCGACGGGTGGGAACCAGGGTGGTGGTGGGGTAGCTGGAGAACATTTGTCTGCAGTAAACAAAGGCAAATGAATTAAAGATCATACCATAGGTGACAGGTGACTGACAGCAGGTGTCGCTGGTCGCCGACCTGAGGAGGCTGAGTGGCATGACCCCCGGAGACTCGGAGGCTGGAACAGTCTCTGTGTCAGTGACCGGTGTGGTGGCCGTGGTAGTGTCTTCAAGGGAGGAGCTCATGAAGGAGGTGGTGCTGGAGGCAGAGGGGCTGGTGGTGACCGGTGTTTGGGCCAACTCCTCACACTCTGGACCTTCGCCCTCAACCTCTGGCTCATTTCGTATTCCTGATAAATATTTATAAAAAAAAAAAAATTAATACAATAAAAATATTTAAATATTGATTGTTTTCAATTTCATTTTTTACTAAGACATTAATCCGACCTCAAATACTAGTATAAATGTATTATTTTTAGGGAGCAAAAGAAAATATCTATAAACTGAAATATCACAATATTTAGTTTCATGATATCGTATCAATATTCTACATTACTGAATCGATCTTGTTATTAGCAATTCTCAGTCAAATATTAATGCCGTTGGTTTATTTTATTTATAATTAAATTGCTTAAAAAAATTCAATCGCAATATATCGCATTGTTGCCAATGTATCGTGATATGTATTGCATCACCAGGTTCTTGTCAATACACACTCCTGATTCATTTGTACTTTCTGTGTCATGTGTTGACATGAGACGCTCCAAAACCCTGTGAGAGCTTTTAAAACTTTTAGATTTTAAAACTTTTGTCACTGTGAGAAGCTGAAGTTTGGTGTTGATGAAGGACGAGGGAAGCACTCATTTTACAATGTTGTGTCAACGATTGAGCTAACAACACATGTATATTGTGACACTTTTCTCAACATTAAAAAAAAACATTATTTCCTGACCCGTCTTGACCTTTCCTCCACACGGTTCTTCCAGCAGCCCGTTCACCACCAACTTGTAGATCACCGCCTGAGCTCTCTCCAGGTCGGCGAGGCCCAGGGCGCGTTTGATAGGCGATCGCATCACCGCTCGCTTCACCATGTGACGCATGAGAAACTGCAGAGCCGCCCTCATCTCCGCCTCCTCCTGACAGAAGGGTGAGGCGGCAGCTGCGGTCCCCGTGGTGCCCACATTTAGATCGGCATTGTGACCACTGGGGGCTGCGTCAGGTAACACCTGGCGGGGCGAGAAGACGACACGTCAGTCACCGTGGTACAAACAGCAGAAACACGACTTCTTTTCTCAGATATGCTGCGACTTTCAGATCGACCAGGAGGTTACAAGTTCAAAACCACCCGGTCCCCAACCCCAGGCTGAGGTGAGTCATGGATCTGACGTTTAAATTCTAATCTCAAAACAGAAGGTTGATGAGAAGAGAGCTGATTGGTTAGAGCTAGGTTCACGTTTACAGTGGTTTAGAAAGATTATTTATATGACTGTCCAATGTTAATAACGTACATAACATTTCAATGTAAATTCCAAAAGCACAGTAAAGGAGCACTTCACGACTCTTCTCTTGGTACTGATGCTGGTACCGACCTTTGGGATGAGCAGCAGCTCAGCATATTTGCTGCAGCTCAGCAGGGCGCTCAGGGTCTTCATGGCTCCCAGGTAGAGGTAGGACAACTGCACCGCATGAATCTCTGACTGCGTGGCAATGCAAGGAGTGGGGTCATGACCCCGGGGGCAATGTTCATGACCTTTCTTTCTGTTTGCCCCAGCAGGAGCTGTAGTGGGGCAGACTGTGTCGTTCCCACAGACCACCGAGGAGATCTCGTTCTCCGACTTGGAGTTAGGGGCCGCGTGCGCCCTCACCTCGTCCAGACTATGAGACACACGCAGTTCAGAGGTCGTGGTGCTCGGAGCGCCCCCCACGCCGTCCTTTTGTTCATTACAGTTGTGCCTCTCGTTGTCTACTTTGTCCTCATTGGCCGTCGGCTCATGCGTGGTTGACGAGGTAGTGCGGTGCTTCCTGTCGTGACGTCGCGTGCTGAGCCTGGCGGCCGTGTCCTCGTGGATGCTGGTGAGGTAGGTGATGTCCAGCAGCAGGGACGCGGTCAGGCCACAGAAACGAGAGACGTCGAACGGCAACGGCTCGCACGGCTCCAGGTTGTACAGTGGCGTGTCGCTAGGTGACCAAAAAGTTGGGAAGCTTTAATCGAAGGGAATGGAGAGTTGAGGAGACAAGGGAAGGAAACACAAAGTGAGGGAAAAGGGTAGGAAGCAGAGCACAGCATGCACAACAAACAAACCAGGAGGTGTGGGTTCGAAAACGATGGACAGACGTTTTCATGCAGAGTCAGTGAGTACAGAGAAATGACCTGAAGTTGAACAGCACAGGGCTCAAGAGCACTAGGGCAGTGTGGACACAGGTGGTAGATGAGAATTTGATCACTTTGGTTTATCGAGAACTTTGATTGGTTTTAAGCAAAAAATATTAAAGAAAGTACAGACAACAGATAGAATAGTGTAAAATGAAGTGCAAACATACATAGTAATTGTACGTCTAACTTCTAACTGTATTTTATCTACCAGTTGTATTTATTTGTTTGTTTATATGACGCTAGTTTTTCCCAGGTTAGGTTATCTGTGGGGCGAGGGACTGCAGATATATTTGGTTGGTTATGCAGGACTACTGAACAGCCTTCATTTGTCATTAGTTGGAGAACCTGGACTCAGAACCAATTTCCACCTTCTGGAAAAATGAATAATGATTCTGTGGTTGATGAGATTCAGGCCTGAACTCTGTGTCAAACACATCACTCCACTAATGTTGGTTGGTGCTGACGCTGAATTAATCCATTTAATTTGTTTCTCATCAGCATTTTTTTAAATCAATATAAAGAGTAAATTAGGCCATAGATTTATTCACGACTAAATCATTTCGAGTGCTGAAAACCCTCATGCGGCTCATACTACGACACAGCCGCACAGAGCCGTCACTGTTGTTATCTTTGTTGAGATAAATGGATGTAAAAGTGAGGAAAAGAAAAAACATCCTTATTACCTGAGGGTGATTTCAGCTTCATCCCACTGAACCTTAGCCGAGGTGCTGCCCTCCTTCACCACACCCAGCAGAGTGGCATGGCGGCCAGTTTGTTTGTGAACACATCGTCCACCGACCCGGAGGCCAGTGTCCGCGCCGCCGATCACTGCCAGCACTGGCCACACCTCTGTGCACAGCGTTTTCAGGTTCTGCTCCGACAACTCCCCGAGACCGTGGTGCCGACCTTGGCGCCCCCTATCCTCGTCCGTTTTTGCAGTTGATTCTTGACTTTCTCTTTGGGCGTCGTGCTCCTCGCGGCTCTGGACGGAGCGGCTCTTCTTCAGCCTCTGACCCCCGACCCCGCCTGACATACTGGCTGCGTCTCTGAAGCACAGCTTGATTTTGTGAAGTCGTTCAATGATGGTTTTGTTGATGCGGTGGGTCCAGTGGTCGGTGCGATGTAAAATGCGGATCAGCTGAGTGGTGGCCTCAGCCAGGACTGTGGCCATCGGGCTGCAGACCGGGTCACCGGGTAAAAGGTCTCGAGGGGTTCCCCTCATCTGCATGTCACAGATCTTCACCTGGAAACAAAGACCAAGGTTATAAAAATACATAATAATAAAATAATATATAAATATATGTTGTTTTTTTAAATTCTGTTCCATGTTCTACTCTCGTACCTTTTCTCCTGGGTTACTGCTGTAGAACATCACACAGGGATAAAGTTCTGTGGCGTCCACGTCTTCAAAGGCTAACTTGGGCTCCTGTTGACCCAGAAGGCAGCAGTTAGCCATAGACAGTGATCTTTTTTATAACATCATCACGTCTCCATGGTCTCTGTGTCTCACCTCTCCGTTCTTTCCAAAACTGATGGTTCTGGCCTCCATGTCCAGGACGCAGGAGATGAAGTCTCCCTGAGTGAAGCTGCTCAGAGTCAGCGTTTGCTCACCGTTGTGATAGAGGTTTCCGCTGTAGGCCCGGTACAACCACATGTCTGAGGTGGTGCGGTGGTTGAAGTCATGCACGGGCCAACGAGACACGCCCACACACGTGCCCTCGTTGCCGCGATTTTCTTTCACAATGTAAAACTGGGAAAGAACAAAATGTTCAGAGTTAAACAGTCGCAATTCTAAAAGTCATCTCTTCACCACTGTGTTACACCAGGATTTATGTCAACATAACAAAATAATTGTTATGTTGACACGCAATTCTAAAAGTCATCTCTTCACCACTGTGTTACACCTGGATTTATGTCAACATAACAATTATTAAATCTTTATAAAATCTTAGTTGGCCTTTTATAACATTCCATTATCAAGAATCAAGGGTCAACAAACAGCTCTGACATGACCAGGTCATTTTTTGTCTTGTTTATTTGTTGACCAACACATTTATAAAGTCATTATCATTTAGCTCTAAATGAAACAAACACAGATGTGTCAAAAGTCAAGGCTCGTGGGCTCAATCTGGCTCCCCACATCATCTTAGGTGGCCAACCAAGTCTGCAGTATACAGTGTGTACTAATGTTTACTGGACTCTCCAGACACAGGCTCCGCCCACCTTCCACTGGTAACATCCAGATGAGATTCCAGTGGAGGCCAGGCCGTAGCCTTTCCCGCCGCTGCCATGAGTCAGGCCCTGGCCGTTCTCCACCACACAGCACTGAGCCTTCTCTGGGTCGAAGGACACTTCCTGAATAGGAAGATTCTCATCCTCCTCCTCCGCCACCTCACCCTGGGGGTGAGAAGAAGTCGACGTCAGTGGTTCAAACACAGGATGATGCTGTTGACAAAGCAGAAGGGTTCACACCTGTACTTTGAGTTCTTGGACTTTTTCTTTAATCTGGATCAGGTGCTTCGCCTGAGCCACAGGAGCCTCCCACATGCAGTCAGAGAGCAGGGAGAACAGACGCTCCACCACCTGGAGGAGAGGAACGGAAGGACAGTTCAGCACCCTGATTTATTAAATTCATTTTATATATATAGTTCGCTCATTCTAAAATATCTAAATATCTAAAAATGTCCAAAATTCTATCATAAAGTCTCAACATGGATGAAGCCTGTGAGTTTTACCGTGGTCATCTGGTCTTCCTCCATACTGGCCTCACAGGCCGGCAGCACAGCCTCCAGCACATGAAGAGCCAACAACCGAGTCCTCAAGTTCCCAACCAAAGGAACTCCTGGAACCAAGACAAGTTCGTGTTCTCAGCTGTGTTTTAGGACACATCACATACAGACAGGTGTCAACGGCTGTTTGTACCTGAGCAACATTTTTGAGCAGCGATGTTGAGCAGCACTTCAGTCCATTTCGGGGAAGCCATCTTGGACTGGATGGCTTTGGAGGACACCACTCTTCTGAGGAAGACCAGGAAGTCTCCCAGATGAAGCTCTGCTGTGTGCTGCTTACAGAGAAGACCTGGAAAAACAAGATGGTGTTGATCATAAAGTTGGACTTCATGGATGGGACATAAAGTTCCAGCATCAAGTACCACAGCACAGGGACAGAACTTTATTTCATCACCTCTCAGGTCCTTCTTCTCAGCATCAGCACCATCTTCGTGTTTGCTGTCCTCTTTGTCTTTCCCCGAGGACAGAATGCTGACTCCTGCCTGAGACAGCAGGTTCTTCAGCTGACTGCAGAGCAGGTCCAGCAGAGACTGCACCACCTTCGGACTCAACTTCTCCGCATATGTTCTACAAACCCAAAGAAAACGCAGCTCAGTTGACGTCTACTCTTGGTTTGGGACAATACTTGAATTTCTGGAGCAAGCCTCACCCTGTGCTGATGGCCAGTATTTGCAGCAGGCGGGTGGACGCCATCTTCAGGGCGATGCTGAGCTGAGACACGCCAGGTTTTTGGAGCAGCTGGAGAGGCTGACCCAGCATGGTCTCAGTGCCGCAGAGCTCAGACAGCACGTTGAGGAGCCCGCTAGAAATGGCCAGGGAGACGTCCACCGGCTGGTACCGAACACTCAGGGCAAACACCGTCACCAGTAGGAGGCGCTGCTGCGCTTCTGAGATTGGAAAAAAAAACCGAACACTCAGGGCAAACACCGTCACCAATAGGAGGCGCTGCTGAGCTTCTGAGATTGGGAAAAAAAAAACATTATGTAGTATCTAAAAAAAAAAACTGGTTATTTTTAGAACCTTTTTTTTTTTTAAACCAGCATTAAAATGAAGTTGAACACTAGTGGTTTCTGGTTTTGTTTTGTTTTTTAAAATCACAGAATTTGTAAGGAACTCTTTTGGCCAGTTGGACTATACTTTCAGCTGTAACTGAGTGTAACATCGTACACAGATCACGCAACACTGACCAGAGACACCAGGAAAAGTTTGGTTTCTTACCAATATGATGTTTGTTGGTCTGCAGCGCCCTCTCGAGGGTGAAAGACAACTGCTGGTAGATCTTGTGGACGGCTGTTTGGATTTCTAGTTGTAGACTTCTCTTCGCTGCTTTGACTCCATCCTTGAAAAATGAAGAGTAACAAATGTAACCAAACTCCCAGGACTCCTCAAGGACAGACCTGGAACTGCTCTCTCACCTGGTAGTGGTGCAGCTGGACACACTCTCTCTTCAGTCCTCCGGTGCCAACGGTGCCGAGACCAAAACACCCGGCCAGGAACTGGAGTCTCACTGAGGTGAGCAGGGAGGAGGAGTGGAAGTCGGGATGACTCCCCTTCTCCTCCATACCAGAGATCAGAACCACAATCTGGTGGAGCGCCTCCAGCCGCAACTGACAACAGAAAACCAGCGCTTTTTGTGAATAAAGTTTCTGCGTCACACTGGACCTGTATGGTGCTACTGAGATGGTGGCGGTTTCCGAGACCCTGGGTTGATTACTGTTCCCTCACCTCAGCTCTGCTCTGCTGCTGTTCCATAGCCAGAGTGATGGCCTGAGGGCTGGTGGACATCCCCTCCTCCAGCTCCTTGAAAGCCGGCGCCGGGCCCACATCACCGATGGTGTAACTGACCATGTTGTCGATGAGAGCGTGTACACCCAGGGAGTGGCTCAGGTCTAGGTCCGACTCCTCGTAGGAGTTGGCAGAGCCGTAGCTGCGCTGGCGGCTCAGTTTGGCTCTGAACCAGGTATCAGCCAGAGAGTCTGGAGAGCTGTGGAGAAAACCTGGAGGAACGGAAAACAAACTCAGTCTAATGGTTGGACACTGGAGCCTATGAACCACCAACGGTAAGAGCCGTGCAGAGTAATGCATTAGTACGACAACACAGAGTCCAGACTGACTCCACTTCACCTGGTTGACTGTTCACTGGCTCAGTCATTTCATTAACCAACATGTACAACTTGAAAACCATCACCTTAAAATAGATTAATAAAAAAAGCTGCAATGCTGCCATCTAGTGACTTTTACTTTCATATACAGACATTTTTCCCTAAAATTATTTTTAAGGCAAAAATCACTTGGCAAAACCCAGGCATTGCGTTATCGGATTTTCCTTATAGGAGGAAAAACCAATAATGATTTTAACAGATATTACATAATTATGCTAATATTGGGTCGATAACATCCCTAATAAAAACAGACTCTAATATAGTTCATGTTTAATGGACACTTGTTTAACGGTTCTTTTAGGAGAACCGAGGGAAATCAGTTAACCCCCACACGAACAATGTGTCATGAGTAAGTGATCACCAGGTCGTTCCCCTGGTCGGGGTATCACGCAGTACTGACTGTGTCTGAGCTCAGGGACGGCCGTACTTTAAATGAATGCAAGTTGATAAATGGTACATTCAGCGTAACAATTCATTTCCAGCTGAATGACTGTATTGTGACCGTGGCAACCAGTGACCAATCACATTATCCACAAGTAGTGCAACAACACTGTGGAAAGTCACAAACATTCCCAGATTCCAATGCTGTCCATTTATGTAACAACTTATCAAACGGACTGTTCATGACACATGGTGTTGGTAACAGTTCCTCTTGTTTTCGGGACTCAATTCGCACAAAAAAGTAAATGAACCGGGGACATTTAAAAAACTATATTCCAAAAATCTTTACCTCTTTTTTTCTGGGAGAATGTCAAGTCCAGTTCAACATTTCTTCTTCCACTCTGAAAAACAAGAAAAGTGTCACAAGTTTGAATTAGTCACAGTGAAACTACAGCTGTCAATCATTTAATCCATACAAATTCATCCGAAATGGATCTCCCATTTCTTCATCAGTTCAACTGTGCCTTCAGAAGAATGTTGTTCTAGATTTGATTCCTCTTATAAACATGGAAGTTGACCGATGTTTGCTTTATTTAAATATGTATTTATCTCTACATTAACTATCAAACCAAGGACAAATATGGAGGAGAACATTCTCCGGAATAACTTCAGTGAACAAATACGCCAATAATACTGTTAAATAGAGGCAGAACATACCAGGGTGTAACTCTCCTCATCCGACTCTGGCTGCGACAGGTCAGACTCACTCCTGGACTTGATCAGCCTGTAACTCGGACTGTTCTGCACCGAGCGGCTCTCCGCGCTCAGACTCTCACTCCTACACACAAACACACAGCACAGCAGCCACAATGACAATACAATACATTAATGCTAGGCTAGGTGCAACTAAACCAGTGAGAGCCCAGTGTTCTGACCTGGTCATGAAGCTCAGACACTCGTTCGTCCCTGAGGTGGATTTGGTCGGACCCTCCTCCTGGTTCTGTTTGCTCAGTTCACAGAGCACTGGACTTACACCGAGCAGCAGCAGAGCGCACCTGTGGATCACCGAATTACAGGCTGCCGTGTACAGGTCCTGTCCCTCTGGGAGAGCGGCGTCGCCCAGCCTCCTCTCCTGGGACAGAATAGTGTCCTCTTCTGCACCACTTCCTACTCCTCCTGCTCCTCCTCCTCCACTCCTGGAACCTGAGGTTGAGCCCAGGCCGGTGCAGCTGCTCGCCC